TCACCGTTTAAATATCGGTTTGTATGGGTCTTTTTCCAATACACAGTGCGAACTGTGGTGTTATTAGGATTTAGAATGACTAACATATCTAGGAAAGCTAAAGAATTATTTGCCTCTAACTCCATATTAAATTGAATTTTAAAGTTTATGGAATTGAGATGTTCTAAAAATGCAGTTACTTTGTCTGATGGTAAAATTGTGAATGTATCGTCTACATAATGCTTATAAATCCTTGGAGTTACTGGTGCAGTAAGCAGGGCTTTCTCCTCAAAGTCCTTCATGAAAATATCGGCGACAGTGGGATATACCGGTGAGCCCATCGCAACACCATCTACTTGCTTGTAGAACTCTTCCTTCCAAAATAGACAGCCAGATGTATTGCAATGTATAAGTAATACTGCATATTCTGCTGTCATAATGTTTTCCTCTAGTTTTTTACTTACAATTGACATGCAGTCTTCAACAGGTAGGCATGTAAATAGAGACTGAACATCAAAACTAACCATAGTCTTATTGTCAGTAAGACATAGGTCTTTTATCTCACTGACAATATGGAATGAATCCTTAGTATGTGCTCTTATGTGTCCTCTGAGTGGTGATAGTACTTTTGCTAGGTGTTGAACCAATCTGTAAGTTGGCGAATCGATCTGACTCACTATTGGACGTAAGGGAGCGTTTGGTTTGTGTATTTTTGGTAACCCATACAACTTCGGTGGTTTGGCACTTTCAGGTATTATCGAATTAACGCCTATATTCAATTTCTCGGAGTATTTCTTAATTTGATCGCTAGTTGTTTTAAGCGTATTAGTTGTAGGGTCTGTCTTGACCTTCACGTATGTACTTTTATCCGATAAAAGTTGTTGTATTTTGAAATTGTAATCCGACGTACCCATTATAACCGTAGCATTACCTTTATCTGCGCGGAGAATCGTGGGATCTGGTCTGTTGCGTAAGTTTTTACATACATACATACATATAATCACGCCTTTTTCCCGTAGGGGTAGGCAGAGATCACTTCTTTTCACTTGCTACGATCCTTAAATACTTGTTTTGCTTCGTCCACTTTCATTATTCCCTTCATACATGCTCTACGGTTTAGGGTACTCTTGACCTGGCCATTTTTCAAGACGTTCCTGATTTGGTCAGTTTTTCTTCGTTTGGTAAGTTTTTCAATGCAATAAATTCATCTTTGGGAAGATTTAATTTGTGCGCTGAGCTTCGACGTAACAAAGACGAAATGTTTTGACGTATGGCCTCTAAATCTTTATTACCAATATTATTTTTATACAGACAGTTCTCAACACTACAGATAATGTTTTCATACGGGATTTCTCGCGGCGTTATTGCGAAATTCATACCTTTGGCCAAAACTTTTATTGTCGCGTCGTCCAGAGATTGTTTTGACAGGTTATAGACCGTACGTTGTTTATTACTCGCGTCTGTTGTCAATGGTTGCGTTCCGTTCTTACGTTGACATTTGATTTAGTTGTTAGTTTTTAGTATTTGTCTATATGTTTATTTTTAGTTTTATGTAATGTGTGGCGTTCGCGTAAATATAAGAAATCATTAAATAATAGCTATTGTTTTACCTACTATTTCATCCACGTAGAACTTAAAAAATACAGATACTCGTTTGTTGCTCTAAGCCACTCGGCTTAGAGCAACTAGTTCAATTAAAAAAATAACACAAAAAAATCACTTTTAGCTCAGTTTTTCTGCTTTCATCTCGAAAATTGTGTGCGTTGTGGGAAATTCTTAAAATAAAAATTAAATATGTCTTATTTCCACGTAAAATGGATGTTATCACCTTCCGCTTTAGTATTAAAGTTAAAAAATGGTAGAAATGACATAGAAGATAAAGTGTGAGGATCTTTTTTGTGTAAAATTGCAAATCTCTTATAGTGACGAGACAATCATCAAAAACCATTTATTTATCAATTTTATTGATTTCCATAATTAAGATCTGCATGTTTTCCGGATGTATTGGTCTCTATCTTCCCTGAATTTTCATCACAATCGGCTTTGCTATTCCGCAGATTAGCGCAAACAGACAGACATACTGGCAACACTTTTAAAAATGGTTATTCATGTCTTAATAGCGTGCGAATAACCCATTAGCTCATTAGAATCCAGTGTGTTTTATGGTATAAGGTGACAAACGTGCACACAGTCCACCTAATCGTAAGTGGAATTTGTGGCTCATAGATATCTACATTTATCCAAAACGCAGATCCGTTGTCACCCCTGAGGACTAATGAGGACTGCCTCGTTTTCAGTATAAAGGGTCTCCGGTTCTCTACACTCACCCCAAGAAACACAGAAGCATTAAGCTGCTATTTTACGCTGGTATACTGTGAGAGCGTGGTTCTATCCCAGTCGAGCCGACCCATTCATGCTACAACCATAATATAGCTGTAAAGGGGTTCCACCACGTAGCAGATTTATTTCAATATTACAGAAAAACACTTTAATTTTATTAATATGTATAGATGATACATTATCTAGTCGTGGAACTTTCGCCCGGGTTCGAGCCCCGCAGGCACCAATGCGATTGTTACTTGAAATTTAATTGATGATTCACCACGTACTCAGCGGTGAATGAAAACACCTTGAGGAAAAATTTTATGTATAAAGCAAATAATAACATAATATGTAATTCCATTGTTCTATAATCCAACCTATGTCACGCAGTTGGACGTATAGCTGTGTCTTTACTTTTTTGTGTATTAGCCATGTTACTATTAGTTTTTATCATTCATCATTACTACTGCCCATCACAAGTCTATTGTCGAACGTAGGTCTTAAGGAATACCACAAATCATGGTCCTGAGTCACATGCAACCAGCTTGTTACTCCATCTAGCGAGAGGTCACCTACTCTTCATTTACCGGTATGAGGCTGCCACTCTAGAATCTTTCTTTCGCTTCGGTAGAAGTGGCGATGGATAACCATCTGGCGTCCATTACAACATAAACTGAAATATAGTATTAGCCTTATCCATAAATATTATAAGCGTGGAAGTTGGTCAGTTTGGATATTTGTCATTTAATCATGCACAAACGTTTGAAAGGATTTTACATATACCACTTTTTTATTTTCAGATAAGTATTAAAGGTATATTCAGTAACTGAAAAAAAAAACACATTTTATTCTGAAATTTAAACAATATTGAAATAAGTTATTCAAAATCAAATCAAATCAAAATTTCTTTCTAAATTGAGTAGTAACAAGCGTAGGTAGGTGAATTCACTGACAATAGCTGGAACGGTTGTAGTATAGTGAAAAATCCTGATTTTACATTTAGCGACAAGTAAACAGAATTGTTTAAGTCCTTTTAATTTTTTTCTGGTAAGTCGTGTAGCGTATGGACATTTATAGTGGTGTATAACTCTGTCGTCTCGAGAAGCGCACGCGCGGGATCGCGGGGCGGGGCGGCACTGCCCGACCGACCGCCGCAGGGAGAAGACGTGGACGCTTACTACGAGCCGATATCAGTGTATAATAATAGTGTTACTTGTAATATATACTACTTACAATAGTGTTACTTGTTCTTTCTAAATATTGATCCCTGGGATCTACAGTACATTACATGTGGCGACGAAATAAACGGTGAGTATTTTAAGAATTTTTACCTTTAATAATAAAAGAAAAGAGAGATAAACATACGTTACATTACAAAATACATAAATCCGACTACAATCGTTGAATAAAACTACCAAGCTTTAATCAAGTGATTATTATGTGAGCAACCTATATGTTACCTACCTTCTTGAGTTTGAGTCTCAGTATTTATAACCCATATAGCTGTACAAGATTTTATTAGGTAAAATTAACTACAGAACCTCACGAGTTTCGTTAATCAGTGTAGGTAGGTAATAGTTACTATAAGTATTGCTGTTTACTATAGGTTCGTTCGAAGTCACAGCGATTTTCCTGAGCAACGACCTGTTCCTACGCAGATGGGACGGCTTTATTGTCATTATAATTAGGAGATTGGAAAAATAATACAGTGGTTATTTAAACTACCTATATGCGGCGTTTTGTTGTTTTAGATTGTTAATAACTTAATTGTTGCTTTGATAATAGATAATACAAGTTTTCATGCCATTGAAAACACAGACTACAGAATATAAATAGTACAGATTGTACTTGAGGTATCTGTGTTGAATACGACAAATAATTAGGGTAATTCTAATTTTAATCTTTACAGTGTGTTTTGTTGCACAGAATAAGCATTTTTCTTTTACCTTTCAATATTCTGAAGTTAATGAATTGATCCACAGTATTAATTAGTTACTTTCCTATAAAATAAAAGTGTATTTAAGGTTATCATCATTATTACTAACTGATGTTGACTGTATATAACATTTTGACTAAGGAACATAGAAGGAAAAGTGAAATAACTAGGTACTCACTTGGCCGTGAGTTGCGTAGGTATCCTCCGTTCGCGTTTTAGGTATCTGGGTTTCTATGGGTGTACATCAGGGGAGTGACATACCTACATATTTGTCAACCTACCTTCCTCATTAAATTGCAGCCGGACATTCAATTGCGACTGAGCATTTAATTGCGGTATGAGATAGATAATAAAAGCATTAAATTGCGTACATACCTACATAGCATTAAATTGCGTACATACATACATAGCATTAAATTGCGTACATACCTACATAGCATTAAATTGCGTACATACCTACATAGCATTAAATTGCGAAGTTTACACGGGTTCAAATTTTATGTTAACACTTGGAGCACCCATTCGCTGCTTGGCGGCTGCGCGCTGGGTAATACTCACGTGCCAGTGCCACAGTACTGCACAGTATGGCGAGTAAGTGTCGTCATGAGCGCTGAATGTGTACTACGGGTGTAGATACAGGTACCTATAGCATAGGTACAGTCAAGTACAGTAGACGCTTTAGTACTAGCATTAGATTGCAATAGCGTGTTATAACATCTATAATATGCAACATTGTTACTACCTTGTCAACAGGTAGCCCCAAATGGCACTGTACACCTTAGAGAAGTTCGAATGTGACGGGGAGGTTGGTTCAGTCTCTGTCCGTTGGGAAAGATGGAAAAGAAGCCTAAACATTTACCTCGAAGCAGCAGGCATAGACTCCGAGGCAAAGAAAAGAGCTAGCCTTTTACATTTTGGTGGTCCCGAGTTACAAGAAGTCTTCTATAACATCCCAGGAGCTAATGCAACTGAAGGCGAACTTTTTAACATCGCGATCGAAAAATTAGACAACTACTTTGCACCTAAACAGAGTAAAGTGTATGAGCGACACCTGTTTCGTCTCATAAAACAGGAACAGGATGAAAAGTTCGAGAAATTTCTTATCAGACTTCGACTGCAGGCAAAGAAATGTCAGTTTGGTGGAAAAGAAGACGAACATATCATAGACCAAATAACGGAAAAGGGTAAAGCAGAAGAACTCAGAAAGAAGATATTAAAAACAGGAGATAAGATCACTTTAGATGAAATAATTGCGGAAGCGAATGCATTGGAAGCCATAGATCGTCAATTAGGAAACTTTAGTACGAAACCTGTAGAAAGTCAGGCAATTAACAGAATAGGTATTGAGACATGGAAGGAGAAGCAAAAAAAAAGAAGATTGGAATGTAGTAGATGTGGAAGTTGCAGACATTTGGCCCGTGACAACAACTGCCCAGCAAAAGGAAAGGCTTGCCTTAAATGTGGCATCTTAGGACACTTCAGAGATCAATGCAGGACAAGACAAACTCAGAAGAGGAAATTTGAAGGAGGAGAATCATCGAACAGTCAGGGAATAAAGAAGAAAAGCAGGACAACAAACAATATCGAGGAAACTGCAAACATAATCACGGATGAGAGAAAAGTCGACTACATTTTCAATATAGAGAACGACGCAAAGGTCACATGTAACATAGGTGGAACCAACGTGGAGATGTTGATAGATTCAGGCTGCAAGCACAACCTTATAACAGACCAAACCTGGGAAAGAATGAAGAAAAATAACGCTCAAGTTACCAATCAAGATTCGAATCCTGACAAAACGTTCATAGCTTACGGGAGTGCAACACCACTGAAGCTGTTAGGATCATTTAAAGCCACGATAAAACTTGCCGGAACATCACAGGACGTCACAACATTCTACGTGATCAGAAACGGTACGCGTGACCTACTTGGACGTGTGACGGCAACCTCATTGGGACTACTTCGAATCAATTTGGACATCAACCAGGTCGGAACTGAGGCGTTTCCAAAATTTAAAGGCGTTTTAGTTACCATTCCGATTGACGATTCAGTGAAGCCCGTTGCTCAGCCGTATCGGAGAATTCCCATCTCACTTGAAGAAAAAGTAGAGAATAAACTGAAAGAATTACTAGAAAGGGACATTATAGAAGTCGTGAAAGGTCCTTCTAACTGGATTTCGCCTATAGTCCCTGTGCTAAAAAACGGGGATGATATCCGATTATGTGTGGATATGCGCCGAGCAAATACGGCCATACAACGTGAAAACCACCCACTGCCAACGATAGAAGAACTGTTGCCTAAAGTTCGAGAAGCCAAAATCTTTAGTAAGCTAGACATACGAGATGCATTTCATCATATCGAACTTCACACAGACTCAAGGCATATCACGACCTTCATTACCAGCAAAGGATTGTATCGATACAAAAGAATGATGTTTGGTATCTCGTGTGCGCCAGAGATTTTCCAAAAAACACTGGAACGAATCCTTTTAGGTTGCGAAGGAGTCATCAACTTCATAGATGACATCTTGATATTTGGGAAAGACTTATTAGAACACGACTTAAGGCTTAAAAAAGTTTTGGCAGTGTTAGAGGAAAATAACATGATGTTGAGGGAAGACAAATGCATTTACAGAATGAAGAAAGTCCACTTCCTAGGGCATGAACTATCAGAACTGGGAGTCAAACCACTAGACAAGTATATCTTGGCTATAAAGGGATTCAGAGCTCCGACGAATATCGCTGAACTGCAGAGTTTTATGGGTTTAGTGAATTACGTGGGAAAATGGATCCCCCACTTAGCAACGATAACAGAACCCCTTAAGCAACTGCTACGGCAAAGAACGGGAAGAAACACAGTCATTCAAGATGACTGGGGGGATGCCCAAAAGAAGGCATTTAACGATCTCAAGGCGGCACTTATGAAGGTGCCAAATTTAGGTTAATACAATCCTCATGATAAGACTGTGGTGATTGCAGATGCAAGCCCAGTGGGTCTGGGAGCAGTGTTGGTGCAAATCAACAAGAATGGGCCGAGAATAATTGCATTTGGTAATAAAACCCTCAGCAGCTGTGAGCGTCGTTACTGCCAAACAGAGAAGGAGGCCTTAGCCCTGGTTTGGGCAGTCGAACATTTCAACATGTTCCTGTACGGTAAGATGTTCGATCTAGTAACGGATCATAAGCCCTTGGAGGTGATATTTGGCCCGAAAGCTAAACCATGCGCTCGCATTGAAAGGTGGGTATTAAGGTTGCAATCCTACAATTTCAAGGTGAAATATAGTCCGGGGAAGACCAATATAGCCGATCCACTATCGAGACTCTGTGAAGTGGAAACAAACCCGACGACATTACTTGAAGACCATGTTCAAGCGATTACCGAATTGGCACGACCAGTAGCCATTCCATTACAAGAGATCACTGAGAGTTCTCTTGGAGATGCAGAGATACAGAAGGTTAGAGAGGGTCTTTACAACGGAAACTGGGAGGAAACGGTAAAAAGCTATAAACTTTTTCAGGATGAATTATGCTTTCATGGCGATATTCTCCTCAGGGGGACGAAAATTGTAATCCCAACCAAGTTACGCAATAGAGTTCTGGAAGCTGCGCACGAAGGCCACCCGGGGATAGTCGCGATGAAGAGCAGATTGAGGACCAAAGTATGGTGGCCTAAGTGCGACAAAGATGCTGAAAACATATGCAAAGCCTGTAAAGGATGCACCCTGGTCTCTGCTCCCAGCGCCACAAACCCATTAAAAAGAAGAAATTTACCTTCCGAACCGTGGGTCGACATAGCAATCGACCTCATGGGCCCATTACCTAGTGGAGACTATATCCTGGTAGTCGTGGATTATTATACCAGATATAAAGAAGTGAAAACATGCAGAACCATAACAAGCTCTGAAATAATTGAAATGCTTAAAGAAATTTTTAGCAGACTTGGCAATCCAGTCTCCCTCACATCAGATAATGGTAGACAATTTTCCAGCGAAGACTTTAAGAGCTTCTGCGCAGAGAGGAACATACGACTCTACAATACCATTCCCTACTGGCCGCAACAAAACGGAGAAGTGGAGCGCCAGAATAGGGACATCCTAAAACGCCTCAAGATCTCTCAAGTAGAGAAAAAGAACTGGAAGGAGGCTCTCCAGGAGTACATGGTGATGTACAATAGTACACCTCACACAGTTACAGGAAAAACACCTGCAGAACTGTTCTTTCGACGGCAATTTCGAGACAAACTGCCTATGCTCCAAGACATAACGCATCTCTCAGAGGATCTTGAAATGAGGGATAGAGATAAAGAACTAAAGGAAAAAGGGAAGGAATATGCGGACAGGAAGAGAGGGGCTACTAACTGTGAATTGGAAGTCGGAGATAAAGTATACGTCAAGAACATGACTAAACAAAACAAGCTGAGCTTAAACTATGAACCCGAAACACATACCGTCGAAGCGAACAAAGGAGGGGACGTAATTCTTCGGAACGATGAAACTGGTCAGCAAATCAGACGGAACGTCGTACATCTAAAACGAGTGGAAGGGCAATGGAAGGTACTAGATGATGAAAATAATGCTAGTGGTACTCAAACTAACGATAATGGTGACGTAAATCAATCACAACTCGAGTGAATAAAATTATGGACGATAATGACAAAATAATTGATGATCAGTGATTGAACATAATTTGAATAAGAACTTGCTGATTGTACTTGATATACTTACTTATGTAAAAAGAAAAAAAAATTCATTAAACTACTATACGAATAGGTAATTATGAATGTATTTTATTTGTAAGTTAAGCTGATCACAGTTCCTTAACTCGATATGGTTATTTATATTTGTATATATATTTATATTAAAACAAAACATTAATAAGGGAGGGATGTAGCGTATAGACATTTATAGTGGTGTATAACTCTGTCGTCTCGAGAAGCGCACGCGCGGAATCGCGGGGCGGGGCGGCACTGCCCGACCGACCGCCGCAGGGAGAAGACGTGGACGCTTACTACGAGCCGATATCAGTGTATAATAATAGTGTTACTTGTAATATATACTACTTACAATAGTGTTACTTGTTCTTTCTAAATATTGATCCCTGGGATCTACAGTACATTACAAGTCGAATTAAGTGGTCGATTATATATACCCACATTTCAATAAAATTAAACTATCTGTCTGTAATATCATATTAACTGGGATCTGTTAGACTCAGGGGGTTGTTTGCATGGTATTAAGACATGAATAACGCTTTTCTATATTTATCCGAAAAACTAAAAATGTATAAAACAAAAAAAAACGAAATATTGATAAAATAAACGGTCTATATAAATCTAAACATCCTATTATACCCATGCGAAGCCACAATGGGTCACTAGTGTAACATATATAACCAGATAAAACTAACCTTGTTTATATTTAGCTTTGTATGAGAAAGAATGTGCAGAGGCTTGAGAATATGAGTTGAAAAACAAGTACGTTTCAGACTCGTTCTAAAGATAATTGGATCACTAATTCTGAAGTACTTACAACCTATCCACTGGCGGAGAGTTGCTCTAGAAAAGGTGAAGCTTATATTATATTGTTAGTAATGAGGGTAAAATAATAAAATAAAATAAGAAATATTGAAGATAGAACTATAATCTCACACTTGTTTTAGCAGTATAAAATCGCAGTCGACTAAGCGGGATCCCCGTCAGGGTACATATGTTCTGTGGCGAGATCAGTCAGTCTGTAATTCTACTAGTCTCATATTATTATGTCAGTTGGGCTAAAACATTACCTCCACACGGAGATACGGTGTAGTAGTTCTTCTAGTGTAAGCAAGGAAGATCGTGTTGCTGAGAGGCTGCCCGGTGTTACATCGAGAGGAGTAGTGTAGCTGTTGCTTTGCATACTTTGGTGTTATCATGTAATTATGTCCTTCACGTTACACCAATGTGTGATTGTGTGTGGTACATTTTACGGTTTGTCGAACTGTATTTGCTCTATACTGAATATGTAGTGCTGTACGCTGTCTTATCCCTGATAATGATCAATTGCGTAAGCAAGACAGCATGTTGAACATCCGCTCTCACACTTTTATTATTCTTAACAATTTACCTTCAGTGTAAATTCTAATACGGGTAACATTGTTTTGTTTAAATTATTTTGAGAATAATTTCTAATATCAGAAGTGGCATAGTTTCTAAAAATATTATATAGGTTTTCGTAGATACCCGGTAAATAACACTAATATTATAAAAAAAAATTAAAATTTTATACGTGGTAGAGCCATGCTGCAGCTATATTAGTGGTATAGTTGTAGCATGAATGGGTCGGATCGAACGGGGAAGGACCACGCTCTCATAGAAAACCAGCGTAAAATAGCAGCTTAACGCTGCTGTGTTTCGTATGGTGAGTTTAAATGGACGGTAAAAGAAAGATAAATACGTTTAGGGCTAGGGCGTCGCCGCATAACGACGCGCATGGGGATCGCCTTAACCCTGCGACAAGTATGCGAGGGCTACCGGGCCCCGTGCGAGCCCGGCTAAAGACGTTAGCACCAACTACGAAGATTCGCTTTGCAAACTGGAACATTGGCACGCTTACGGGACGCTCCGCAGAACTTGCGGCCATACTTGCCAGGCGTAAAGTGGCAGTGGCATTCCTGCAGGAGACACGGTGGAAGGCCAACAGGAGCCGGAATATTGGGCACGGCTACAAGCTGATCTATACAGGCTTCTCTGGTGGAGAGAACGGTGTGGCAGTGGTGCTCGCCGAGCGTTTCCACGATAGCGTCTTGGAAGTTAGACGCATATGCGACCGACTTATGGTAGTAAGGTTGCTTATTGAGGGGGTCGTGACCCACTTAATAAGTGCCTACGCCCCACAGGTCGGCTGCAGCGACGCGGATAAAACGCTGTTTTGGGATCGTCTCGGAGATGTACTACGCGGCATACCGTTGTACCACGATGTCGTTTTGGGTGGCGACCTAAACGGTCATGTGGGCGAGGTGCAGGGGGAGTATGAACGTGTCCACGGCGGCTATGGTTACGGCAGAAGAAACGCAGAGGGGGAAACCATTCTCAGAACCTGCACTGCAGCTGACCTGGCCGTGGTGAACACGTTCTTCAAAAAGAAAACCGAGCACCTGATTACCTACAGGAGCGGTCGGAACGCCACTCAAATCGACTATCTACTGACCAGGAGAATATCAGTCGCGTGGCCAACTGTAAGGTCATACCCGGTGAGTGTCTCACTGCCCAACACCGACTTCTTGTCATGGACCTCTGCGTAAAACCCCGTCGCAGACACGCCGAACGTTGCCGCCGTCAAATCAAGTGGTGGCTGCTGGATCAAACCAGATACTCAGAGTTTGACTCTGCCGCTGGGGATATTAGTCTCGACACAGCAGGCAAGTCCGTCCAAGAGTGCTGGAAAACCATTCAGACAGCAATCACAAAGACGGCAAAGCAAGTTCTCGGCGTGGCGAAAGGGGGCCGCAAAATCGACAAGGAGACCTGGTGGTGGGATGCCACAGTCCAGGGTTCATTACGGGAAAAGAAAGCGCTCTTCAAGACGTGGCAAGTGACCAAATCTCCTGAAGATCGCGCATCTTACAAGACAGCGAAAAGAGCTGCCAAGAAAGCTGTAGCCAGAGCCAGGCGTGACCACTTGCAACCATTATATGCTAAGTTGGACACTCCTGAGGGGCACAAGCTCATATATAAACTGGCGCGCTCTAGGGCCAAAGCAGCTCAAGATATTACTCGCTGCTGCAGCGTCAACGGCCCTAATGGCGAGCTCCTGTACGATGATCGTGCGGTGAAGGAGAGATGCCGCTCTTATTTCCACGTTTTGCTGAATACTCAGCACCTGGAAGTGCACCCTCCCGAACAACTCCCGAACCATGGACTCGTGCCACCAATTACACCTGACGAGGTCCTCGCATCTCTTCGTCACAT